CGGCGATCCTGGAAGACTCTCTGAGGTCCCAAACATTCGAATATTTAGAAGTTAAGTGTAAAGTCAGCTCAGAAAGCCAGCAGACTTGCAGTTCCAACAGCTTTGCTTTCAGAGGAACTCAGTCCCCCTCAAAGCAATGGGGGGCAATGAGGTTACAGAGTAGTACGCGAGTAGTTAACCACAAAACAATGAGAGTAGATCTGAGAAAAAAAGAGTAGACTGCATTGAAAGGCAAATAGGGTAGTGTTATTGTGTTAGAACAGAGTAGACTGCATTGAAGAGCAAGTTGGGTTATGTTATTGTGTTAGAACAGAGTAGACTACATTGAAAAGCAAGTTGGATCGTGCTATCACATTGAGCAGAATAAACTGTATTAAAAGAACGAGTTAGATTGTGCTAGAAAACAATCAGAGAAAGAGGAAAAAATTGGTGCGTTTACACCAGTATGTTTACCATTCAGACGAATCAGGAAAGGCAGGCCAAGTTTACATTCCCCAATAGAAGTTACAAATGTTAGTTAAAAAAAAAAAATTTAAAAGATCCTAAGTTTCTGAAGAGGGAACAGGTGGAGGATCCTGTAATGAAGTTTCTATAGCCTCAGCTACAGGAACAGAGGCAGAGCTCAGCAGCTCACCAGGCCACCCTTCTGACAAGGCAGCAGTTGAAATCTTAGAAGAGCCAAGAACAAGTGAGGAGGTTGGGGCCTCGATCTCAAACAGAGTTCTCGTTACCAGTCAACAGAAAAGGAAGTATCAGCTGAGGAGTGGACATTTCAGTATCTTCCAGAGCTCTATCAGAGGCAGCGGGGACCAAGGTGATGTCATCGCCATCTAAATCAGACTCCTCCAACTCCTCCTCAGCGGGATGACAAAGTCAAAATCAAGGTCTGAGTAGGCCTTCTCCGCTTTGCGCTGAAAGACCAACTATCCTGAGGCCCACTTGGTGGTGACATCATCCTTCAGCTCGACTATTATGTCATCTCTCTCCTTGACAACTGTCTTCTGCACCTCGAGCTCACCGTATAGGCCCTCGTTCACCTCAGTTAGTATAACATACTCATTCCTAAGGCTCTCGAGGGAGCCCCGAGCATCAAAGACTTCCTGCCTAACTTTGTTCCAAGCATTGGTTTTGAGTAGCAGCTCTTCCCTGGTCATTCTTAGCTCATCCCTGACCTTCTTCTCTCTTTCCTCAACCCTATCCTTAGCATCTTGAAGGCCTTCGTAGTCAAAGGCCTACTTCTCCATTTGCTCCTCGAGCTTCTACACCTGAGCTCTGAGGCTCTCATTGTCAAAGGCCAACTCAGCGATCTTAAATTCATATATCTTCAAAACTTTGGCATAATCCTCCAAAGATTGGACCCTGCCCATCAAGTTCTTCAAGTGGAGAGCCATATGTGAACAAAAAAAAAAGGGGAAACAAACATAGATCAGCATAATTCAACCGCGTGGAGCTAAGAGTCAGTGTGAAAATACTTACAGTGACTGCTCCCTGGAGAGCTGAGTAGAAATAGGCCTCAAGAGGCAAGGTAGAGGCCCTCTGAATATCGGATTCAGAGAGAATGGATGAAATGGTCCCCAGTAGCCAACTCAGCATTGTCGAAGAAGGAATCTTCATTAGTCTTTTGGCCCTCCCTTTTTTCGACTTTGGGACCCTGGAGAGGCAGCTGGGATGGGTTCTTAGGCGGTTCGGGGGGTGCAAAATCTGGCTTAATTCCAGTAATCAACCCTAATATTCCCTCAAACTCAGAAGAGGTAGGGGAAGTCAGCCCTGGCTCAGAAGTCTTTCGGGGGGCAAACTGGGCCCCTTGAAAAGGTAAAGGGGCCAGGGATTGAGATGTGGGAGTTTGTCCTCCCTTGCTCAGGGCAGAAGAAAGGGCACCCCCAGCTTCTACACTTTAGCTCTGCCAGCAGAGCTGCCTCCAGAGCTAGTATTGGCCTTCTGTTTGCCGCTTTTTCTATTCTTCTTTAGTAGTCAACTTTGGCCTGGAACTCCTCAAGGTAGATTTCATTATGGAGGAGCTTGGGAGATCTGGACCAAGCAAGTTAGACAAGAGAAAGGAAACAAAGGAAAGACAAGGGAACAACTCAGAAAGTATTACCTTCGATGTCTTTAGGCCTGACGACTGAGATAGGGAGCGGAGCTTCAATTAATACCTTAGGAGGACTGAATCCCTGTGTTACTAAGACCCAGGGCTTGATGAGCTCGAAGTACTTTTCTGGATTGCACTTCTCCAACTTTCGCTTGACCCTCTCGTCCTCAACATTGAGTTCTGGTCGAATGCTTGAAAAGCAACACAAGGGGAGCAAAGGTCAAAAAGGCGACTTAAGATTCCCAAACCAGAGCTCAATCAGTTCGAGCAAGAGTTCACCTAAGTTATCAGGGGCGAACTAAGTTCTAGGGATTCCCAGAGTATCAGTCCTATCAGCAGGGTTGTACTCCCAGTTGGTGCCCCCAACAAAAAAGAATTATTTCTTCCAACCTTTATGGGAGCTCGGGAGATGAGTAATGATTTGTCTAGCCATGGTTTACTTAAGATATATAAGAAACCCTCTGATGAGGTGAGCTTGACATTAAAGAGATCCATAAGCAAGAAAAGACTGGGGACCCCGAGTCCATGAATCTGGAAGAAAACCAAAAGAACCACAAGTACACCCCAAAAATTAGGGAAGAGCTGAGTAGGACAAACATTGAAGTGTTGCAAAACACCCTTGATGAAGGGATGCATAGGGAAGCGTAGGCCATTTTCAAAAGCTGTCGCAAAGAAACATACCCTCTTGTGAATTTGGGCAACGTATGTGGTGTATTTATCTGGATACCAGAGCTAGACACTAGGAGAAAAACCTTAATGAACACTGAGAACTCTCACATGAGAATAGTCAACCTCACTGGGTCTTACGAGCTCAGCGTGCCTAAAGGTAGCTCCTATGCCCGCTGCACTGTCAGAGACTCCTATCTCACTCAGCTTGCCCTTACCTTTGATAGGATTAGGGGGCACAAAAGAAGACGATGGGGATAGTTCCTCAGTATTTTTTTGGCATCGACAGCATCCACACCGGGAAAGTTATCAATTTCTTCGCCTACATCCCCTAAATCAGTGTCATCTTCGACAGACTTTTTCCCCAAGAGAGAAGCAGAGGAGCGTATAACTCTGAAAGGAGTAGACATGACTGGACAGGAAAAGGATAAATTGAAAGAATGGTAGAGAGGGGGAATACCGATTAAACACTCCCTAATAACTTTAGGGTCAGCGCAGTAGCTTCCAATAGCAAGGATTCGCACGATAGAAGACCAGTCCACGAAGTGGGGGAGAGGAGACAAGTAGTAATTTTGATTCCAAAAAAAAAGAACCGAAAGGCCCAGAAATGCAATGGCCACCTTGAATTCGAGGGATCCAGAACGAGAAAAGATGAAAAAGAGACAAAAGGGCGTACCTAGGGGGAAAAGAGCAACGAACAGCAACCTAGAGCGAAATGAAAGAAAGAGGGCAATGCGAATCCTCAAATCGAACCCACAGAACTCGATCTTAAACGAGGAATCAGAGAATTTCAAACTAGAAAGCCAAGAAATTACAAGAAGAAAGAAGCAGCAGAGAAATTGAACAGTGGAATAGGGCAATTCAGATAGTCGTTTGAGCATTTAAAGCCTAGAAGACGTGGACTGAAATGTGCACGAGAAACGAGGAAGTCATGATTGCTGAAAGTTGCCAAAAAGGTCAAACTCAAGTGCGAGCCAAGGTCAGCCACGTGCAGATCCTACTTTGTTTTCAAAACAGCTCAATCCCTACCCAAGCCCGCTTGAACTAGGGGCTGGGAGACAACTGATAATACTTCAGACAAGTCCTAGTTGTGAGGTCAGGTCAGGAGGTCAAGAAAGACACGAAAAACTCAGAGAACCAGGGGTGGAGTTCCCCTTGGGGAGATCGTAGCTGAACCAACCAGAAAATAACTGGGTGGTTGCGGAAATTAAGCCTCATGCATAAAACTCTCAACTAACCAAGATCCTCTCCTAAAATCAAGAAGGATCCCATGAATAATGGGCAAAGATCTCGGCCGAAATCCCATGGAATAGGGGCAGCCTTATAAATACTATGAAATGTCTCATCGTGAGGCATGAAAAAAAGATAAAAAATCCTAGTCAATTTAGCACTATCTTGTATTACATTCAACTAATCAATAGAGAAGAAAATGAGTAAGGACCTCCATTGAAGAGTGGACTAGCTGAACTTCTGAGCCGGTGAACCACTATATTTTCACTGTGTACACCCTTTAATCCCTTCAATATTTTACTACAGCATCATACACGAGGCTTGTAGTTCTAATTCACACTCATCTCACGTTATTTGTACTTTTTGCTCATCCACATTGATTTACGTCGTCAAGTTACTATATGACCAAAAAAAAAAAAATTCCTAAGTCTACCATTAATAAACAATATGGACTCGAAAACCACATAACTGATATCTATTTTTCTCAAAGAGGATATTAAGATTAAATAAGTAAAAAAATTCTCTCTTTTTTGTTTTTGTTGGATCATTTTCAAAAGAAACGCAATGCATGGTTATGGTTAATCAAACATAATCGATTGTGTCCACTTACCAATCTCTATCTCAAGGTGATTAGACATAAAATAATTAAATAGTAGTATTTTAATTATAATAATAATGTCAAAATAATTCATCCAAGTCAAGGAAGACTCGGAGAACTAAACTTGGCCAACTACTAGACATCAGCGATCTCCAAGATATTTCTATTCTATTCTAATCTACTACGCGCTTTGCTCCTCTGGCGCACTGCCACCGCCTTTCTTCAGATCATCTCTCATGGTCAGACTAAAGAAAACGTAAACCATACTTCTCAGTAAAAGTCCCCAACGTTGCAAGCATCTCAACTACGACAACTGCCCCCACAGTTGCGTACACACAACACAACACAACACAGCACATCAAAGGTGAATTTTTCTTCCCCCAAAATTCACGTGTTTTTGTTATTCTCTTGTCTTTGTTCAGTTTCGATTCTGGGTTGCTCTGATTTGTGTCTACAAATCGAAATTTAGTATGAAAAAGTGAATATTTCAATTAATGGAGGATTTATCATTGGAAAAAGAGTGGTCTTTTGATGTGGCTAGTTGGCTAATGGATCATTTTCTTGTTTACTGGCGTAATTTTCCTTCTTGATGTGTATTAAATATCTTTCTATCATATGGTATAATACTGGAGTGGGTGAAAAATGAATCGACTATATTCAGGTATTGATTGATCTTTTATAACAGTCACATGGTTAATGTGTGCTGCAAATTGATGTTTTTTCGGTTGTTGACTTGTGGGCTTGATTTGTTCTGTTCGTGAGCATCACTTATTGTGCTATTTGTGGCCAGGAAATGGTGTGCTTTGATGAATTCGTTTACCTTTTATTCAAAAAGTAACACAATTATAACTGATAAGATTGTTTTTTGAAAGAGACTCTTAATAGTGTGCCGCAGTCGGTTGCTGAGAAACCGGAGAAACTAGGGAGGATATGTCAAACCTTATATTTTGATGTTTTGGTTGTAAAAAAAAAGTTGGAAATCATTTTATAAAAGTAGTAGAAGATGTAACTTCTAACTGTTTTTGTTGATTGATGAAAGCAAGAAATAAACATGCCAATTATTCAAGATTGGTTATTCATAACATGATAGAGATGAAGAAAATGGCTGCGCATAAGTTGTGGTGTTGCGCCATAGTATGTGTTGATGATTACCCTATATAGGTGGTTTTTAATGATACTTAATCTTCATTTATGTCATATATTTATGTGGCTACTGCAGTTGTTAGCATTAGGCAAGCACAATGCATGTGGATATCATGTGTGCTGCAAAGATAGTGTCCTTTTTGTTTATATCTTCCCTGTGTCAATTACCCAATGTGAGTGACTTTTATATCTGGCAGAAGGATGAATATTTATACCTCGACATGTTGATATTGTTTTGTTTTCAATTCTGGGAATATGGCATTCTTATGAGGCTTAACTTTCTATTAACACATAAATAATACTAAAAAATAGAAAGAAACAAACGATTGAAGGAAATAAAAGATCATCGAATATTTTAGAGGTATCCTTATACTAATGATTTTTCACTTGATTCCTGCAGTTTTTTCAAGTTGAGTAAAACAAATCATGAGCTGCTTCAGCTGTTGCTCCGAGGATGATATGCAAAAGGCTTCTGATAATGGACCATTCATGGCAAATAGCTCTGCAGGTAAATTGTATTTCAGGCTGTAGTTTATAGATAATTGACAACATTATACTTCCATGGGAACAACCTCCCTCCGTGCAAGGTAAGGTTGCGCTCATCTGACTCTTTCCATACCCGCAATAGAGGTAGTCTTGTGCACTAAGCTGCATTTTTTTTACCACTTTAAGTGGCTGATAAATTTTTGTTAGCCTTTTTGGGGAAGATAACTACTAATTATTCACTATAATGTGAGTCATGAAGTTTGTGTTTTATGGCTTAAAGCATGAAATGAGAGAAGGCATGTATGTGGTTCTACGTTTGCCTAGACAATTTGTGGTAGAAACTCAAACATTTTGTCTTTGGTTATTCGGTTGAAGTTGACTTGTATATTCACCTATCGTGTATTTCTTTGGTTTATGTTTCTTGCTTGGCTTCCTTGGACGCTATATTCCAGTTGTGTGGATCTATGTGACGTGCAAGTGTCGCCATTCTTAGCATCACGCCAGTTTTATTTCATTCTTTGTTGTTCTTAATAGTGGTTACGAGGTTTCTGATTTCATCAATATGAAAGTTACTGAAAAGTTTATGTATAGGTAATTATGGAGGTTATCGTGCCACGGATGCTGCACCGAAGGTAACACAAACTGTAAGTTTCCAGCCTATTGTTATCCCTGCTATTCCAGTGGATGAGTTGAAGGAGATTACGGATAACTTTGGCACAAAAGCTTTGATTGGTGAAGGCTCGTATGGAAGAGTATATCATGGTGTCCTGAAAAGTGGGCAGGCTGCAGCCATTAAAAAGTTAGACTCCAGTAAGCAACCTGACCAAGAATTTTTAGCACAGGTTGGACCTATGACAGTATGCTATGTTTAATAAAGCTATGTTATATGCTACTTTTCAGCTAGAATTCCCCTCATCTAATGCATGATGGTACAGGTTTCTATGGTATCAAGACTAAAACATGAAAATGTTGTTGAGCTACTTGGTTATTGTGTGGATGGAGGTCTACGTATCCTTGCCTATGAATTTGCTTTGAATGGATCACTTCATGATATTCTCCACGGTATGTATGTCAAGTTTTTTCTGTGTGAGGTTGGATGTTATCACTAGCAATGCAACATGTAGAGTGTTTTCAAATCCTGCGGATATTGTATATGTCATATCCATGCGTGAAAATATTTTGGCAACTCCAATAATAAAGGATTGGATATGGGCGGATTTCCATAACTTGGGCACATCTTTTTTTTTCCCTGGTTGGTTTTTATGAGTTTGAAAGTGATAACCACTGCAACCTCATCATGTGAAGCTAATTTGAGAGACATTTATTGATTATAATACTGATACTATTAGAACTTAATCTGATAATATCTAGGAGTAGTGGATCAAGTGTCCAAGACATTTGGAAAATACTATATATAAATTAATGTTAGTCATCATATATAATGAATTAAATCCATTAGAAAACGATGAAAACTCGAACTTCTATGATCCATGATAAGATGTGCACCACCATTTCTTTCTGGGGCATAGTTGTTAAATCGTGTATCGGAAAGTGTATCGTTTTTTAAAAATAGTATATCGTATCGTATATTGTGTACGAGAAATTTTAATTTTTAAATAATTATTAATAAAATATATGTATATACCTTTATAAAAAAAGTCATAGACTCATAATAACATAGTATTTCATTAATATTCCATCAACTATTCAAATTTCCAACATAGTTCAGTAATATCAAAATGCAAAGGCCTCTAATTCAAACTTCTAACATCAACTGCTTGAACAACATTAATATTAATCAGGAATTTTGAATTCAATTGAAGAACATTAACATTAGATTTTATTTATTTTTTTTAAAGTATAACCACTGAAACAACGTTGTTTTAGTAGCTAGTGATTTAAAAATAAGTATTAGGGTAAAACGATGTCATTTCAACCCTACAAAAAAAAAATAAAATGAATCGTCACGTTTCGTGTATCGTACGATACGACACAAAAACGATACAGAAACACGATACGTATCGTTTTTCAGGTATATCATGACGTATCGTGTATCGTATGATACTAATAACTATGTTCTGGGAAGTTGTGAATCCCTCAATAAATTTCTGCCTCTTGTTTTCTCTCCCATCACATGATGTCTGCTGCACTTGTCCACAACACAGAAATATCTATCACTTGATTAGATTGCTTGTCAACTATCTTTCCACAGACTGATAAAAACAAAGGGCACTACAGTACTCTAAAACCATGTTCAGTTGATGTTTCACTTGATGTCAACTTTGGCCATGCGTTTGACCATGCCTAATTATGTTCTTCATAAAATATTTCTTCTCTGAGCGGCCATGAGTCTTTTCACTGCAGAAAAAGGAACACATTTTTTAAATTTAGCCCGTTCATTATGCATCTTCCTATATGCATTTTTGCATCGAGTAAAACTATGTGCACTAAATGATGTGGTAGTTAGGTGTTATAGTTATTTCCTCTGGTGATACAAATAATGTTTTTCAAATTATGGATGTAGGACGCAAAGGTGTCAAAGGAGCACAGCCAGGTCCAGTTCTGTCATGGGCTCAAAGAGTTAAAATTGCTGTTGGGGCTGCAAGAGGACTTGAGTACTTACATGAAAAGGCACAGCCGCATATAATCCACCGTGACATCAAGTCTAGCAATGTTTTACTTTTCGATGACGATGTTGCTAAGATTGCAGATTTTGATTTGTCAAATCAAGCCCCTGATAATGCAGCACGCTTACATTCTACTCGTGTTCTTGGAACCTTCGGTTATCATGCACCAGAGTAAGCTCTTCTTTTTATTCTTGGAAATGGATACTTGCTCAAAACTCAAATTCTTTGCCAACCACAGACCAGATACTTATAAGAAGAAATGTTGAGGCATCATTTGATATTGCACTGCTAGGATAGTCTCACTCAAATTGTAGTCACTCTCTTCCAGGCGTTTTTTTCATTTACTCGATATCTAAAGTATACACAAAGAACCTACCATGTCGAATCTTCCTTAAGTCAAAAAAAAAAGAAAAGAAAGGAGGGAAAGCGTCTTATTCTTTTTGTATGCCTCATGGGATGAGGCGAAAAATGACTAAAAGGAAAGGATCTACTGTTCCTACTAAGTACTTGTGTTTTTCCCAACATCTGAGTATAGAATTCTATGTCTCTTAATTGACAATCTTCATGATGCTGCCATTTTTAAACCCAGAATTGTTCTGTGAACTGCTTTCTGCTCGTCCATCTATATTTTACTTGGCATATTTCCACAATATTTGCACTTCACTGGTCAGAGTTTCCTTGTTTCGGGTGGCAGATATGCAATGACTGGGCAGCTGAGTTCAAAGAGTGACGTTTATAGTTTTGGTGTAGTCCTCCTAGAACTCTTGACTGGGCGAAAACCTGTTGATCATACGTTGCCACGTGGACAGCAGAGTCTTGTAACATGGGTACTCACTTCATCTTGATAGCTTCTTGTCATTTGACCTTTGGAGGTTGCTTACATGCTTGATTTTGGACACTGATATTCTTGGAATTGTTATAATCTAATTGATTCTTGATCATGTGGATTGTATTAGGCAACCCCAAAACTCAGTGAAGATAAGGTGAAGCAGTGTGTTGACACTAGATTGAATGGAGATTACCCTCACAAGGCTGTTGCCAAGGTAACTGAAATTATACCTAATTCCTTTAATTAGGCATAATTAAAGGAATGAATGTCTTGGCCCATACATCCTTTTGTGTTCGCTTGTTGCAATTACACTATGCCTACCCTCCTGGGAGCTGTATTCCAAGTTTGAAACCAAGTTTTCTATCTGATGAATGTTGGGAAGTATTTTACTTGACCTAATGTCCTCTCGCTTTTTATTGTCATGCTGGAAACAGATGGCTGCAGTTGCTGCCTTATGCGTGCAATACGAAGCTGATTTCCGGCCAAACATGAGCATTGTTGTTAAAGCTCTCCAGCCTCTGTTGAACACTCGACCTGGACCACCCAGTGAAAGAAGAGACTTGTGAATTGTTCCCTTTCTTCTCGGCGTGACAGCTCTGCAAGTCCACTTTTTCTTAATTTTCTTCAATGTTTAGCTCTATAACCATGAATTCAAGAGAGATCCACTATTGTAAGTGGGCACCTATCCATACATAATGAATCGGTCATCCACCCACAAATAGAAAGAAGTGTACTGTAAAGAGTTTGAATCTTTTCTCCTCGACCCCTTGTTAAATATCTCGTCAAGATTTGTTTTCCTATAGGGTATTGTAAATTATTTTCTTTCGTGTCATTGAGTTTTTTGGTGTAATGTATAGAGTCATTCTACACATGCACTGAAATGATTGACATTGCTCTTCTTTGCTTCTCGGTTGTAGTAAAGATTTTGGAATTGCCAATAGGAGCTACGGTCTGTCATCCAAGTCTCATAAGTTGCCTAGAATTCATGGACTTTGGTTTTTGGGAAATTTCTTAGTTGATGTTTACTGTTATCCGTTGCTTCCTTCCTGGAAGGAAATGTTTGTTTATATCTTTCATAGAGTATTTTGAATGATTCCCTCATATGCACTTTAAATTAACTACGAAAGCAACTCTGCCAACGGAGAGAGAGAGAGAGAGAGAGAGGGGTGACGTACTTAGTGTGTTGAAGAACACAAAGAAACGTTTTTAACCCCAAGTCAGCAGCAGTAGTTCTTTTCACCTTATTAACAAGCCAGAGAAATAAAATGAAACACGAAAGAAAAATGAAAAAGCTCTCTTCGCATTCAATTGCAAAATCAAACCTCTTACACAACCTTTCATAATGCTCATGTGAATTACCAAGAACTACCTACGGTGGGGAAAATGAAATACAGGAGAAAAAAAAAGACATGTACAGAATACTAGCTGTGGTGGTATATTCTATCATTCCTTTCTGCACAACCGTCACATTGTCTCCAACATCTATAATTTGGGAATAAGAAACCAAAAGACATATATCAATGCTATTCCTTTATGACTTGCTTCCACTGCCTGCCTTCGAACTCATCTTGAACTCACAAAGGTAGAAAAAATGTGGACTATATAAGTAAGTGGCTTGCATACTTGCTTACGCCTGGCCTGGTTGTTCTTTTTGCTTTCTGACCTCAATTCCGCATTGTCATTCATCAGAATTCTGCCTCTGAGACTACGCTATGCCTCTGAGACTCCGCTTCTTTGGGCCCTGACTGATTCCTTCGGCGTCTTCGATCCTGAAAGTCCAAACAGGGTTTGGTTGAAGGTTTATTTACTAACATCATCCCAAATGAACTTTCAAGTTTCAGAAGGTATGTGGTGTGTATTCTGGTACTTTTTACTTGTTTGCTGTGTGTCTTGGGAGTTCTTTATAAAAATATAAATGAATGTAGCTTTCGAAAGTGTACTCTGGTCTAAAAGACTTGCCAACTACACAAATGATGAGATGTATGAAGACATAATCGAGAAACTTTCCATCTTATACATAATATAATTTGTCTTAAATATGAGTTAGAATCAAACCTCTCGTCGTATGGGATATTCGTTTGACTCAAGCATGCGGACAACTTCACCCATGTTAGGTCTCTTGTCAGCGTCTGGATCTACACACCTCAAAGCAGTGTAAAGGGCTCGTTTAAGGGCACTTGCAGACGGCTTGGTTTCGATGGTTGGGTCAACAACTTCTTCTGAGCGCCTGCTGCCAACCATCATCTTGAGCCAGTCAACCAGATTTACCTGCAGAAGCACAATATCCAAAAGATCAGGAAAATAAGGCTGTAAGGTGCAATTTCAATGATTCAAAGCCCAGGAGTCAGTAGAAGTCAAACGATTATATAAAATAGAAGATTGCATGATGAATGAATGACCTGTTAAAAACTTGTATGAACTCCAAAAGTGAGAGATAGTAGGAGACGTATCATCTAATAATTTAAATATGGGGCTCAATATGAAATCCTATTTTCTTGGAAGTCCCATTCATTTAAGGGAAAATAGAACTACACTGCACTGCCAATATGGAGTTCCATTTGAAGACAAGACATATAAGAATTAGGAATAGGAATCAAAAAGGATGCAGTATGTTTTAAAGAACACTACCCCCCTCTATGCACAGAACCTCGTTGCTTTGAGTATTCGCTGTTCAGTAAGCTGTTGTTTACTCCAGATTTTATTTTTCACTTGTCCTGGTCTTAGCCCAATTGTTTTGAATTGTTCAAGTGGTGATTTTAAGCTCTTCATATTCCTATACTGAGTCAACTTGCCTTGATTAAAGAAATTGTTATCCAATTTCAATCATCAATTCCTTCACCCAAGAACTAACGTTCAGAAAGAGGGTTCTGCATCACTAGATTTTCCCAAATCATTTGTATACACCCCAAAAATACCAAGGTATGCACAAGGTAAGATTGGATTCAATTATATAAAGTGGCAATGTAAAAATTCAGATATCCTTTCAATTGTGCACGGGATGCTTCATGCCTAAATCAATCATTTGTATTTTTTTTGGTCATGAATCATCAGTGTTTCAATGTATTAGTTCAGTAAACTTGAAAAAAAGTTTAAGTGAAAGAAAACATCTCACAAAATAAACCCAGTGTAAAATGCCTCTGAAATATTTTACCAATTAACATCTATGAGAACGTGCTAATATCATTAGTCAATGCATCGCATAGAAATTTAACGAACTTCCAGTGCTTTGGAAACAACTCTAACATACCTCATGTGCGGGACGTCCATAGTCAACTGGATCTCTTCCAGTAATTGCTTCTAAGAGCACAACTCCAAAACTATAAACATCACTCTTCTCATTGAGGAGGCCACTATTTGCATATTCTGGAGCCACATATCTGTACAATTGAGAAGAAAGCCAAAAAGAAAAAGGGAACAAAATAAATTAATTTATCAATCAATTATCAATTGTCTTGCTTCCTAAATCTTTCATAGAAGAAACTAAATGAAGGAAAATATAGACAATGAACACGTGCACAACTGAAATTTCAGGCATCTGACTCACCCAAAGGTACCCATAACTCTGGTTGTAATATAACTCTTTCCAGCACCCAGCAACTTTGCCAGACCAAAGTCAGATAGTTTAGCATTGAAGTCATCATCAATTAGTATATTGCTGGACTTAATATCCCGATGCACAACTTTTGGCTCAATGGCCTCATGCAAGTATGCAAGTCTGCAAGAAGGACAATAAGTATGAAACAAATATGGAAGCCGGAGAGGATTGAATAACACATATAAAGCTATAAATGGGCTTACGCTTTAGCAGTGCCAAGGAGAACTTTCATGCGGGCCTCCCAAGTAAGATATCCATGTTGACACATAGCTCCATGAAGCCATTGCTCCAAATTGCCGTTGTTGACATACTCATAAACTAACAACCTAAAATTTACTCAAAAAGAATAGAAGAAATTGATTTAATATGCATCTCGTAGGCTGGATGAAACCTTTCAAGGTTCAAAAATCACACTGATAAGAAATTTCCCCATCAGACATTAATTTTGTCTTTGATAAACCTAAATTACAATTAGTTGTATGAGGATAGCATCAAATCATTAGGTATGAATGGGAGGGATGATGTACCCTTTGTCTTTTCCATAAAAAGCCCCATTTAGCCACAGGAAGAGACACTATCTTTGGCTAAAACGCAGTAAAGGAAATAAGTCAGATTTTTTTAGTACAGTTGTTAATGAAGTCATAATGCATCATCCTTTCACCAAGAATATAGGTCAAATGTACTAAAAACGCTCAATACTCCTTTCATTGGTTTATCTTTCACCAAGAATATAGGTCAAATGTACTAAAAATGCTCAATACTCCTTTCATTGGTTTACTCATCTACACTACAAATCATCTTGATAAGCAGAAAATAAAGGGCATTCTTTAAGGAATGTCATACCTGTGTGTTCCTTCAATACAGTAACCCAGAAGCCGAACTAGGTTTTTATGCCGCACATGACCAATAGCCTCAACTTCAACACTGAATTCCTTCTCTGCCTGCCCCCTGCAGCCAACATATTTCAATACAGGACATAATTTAGTAAGCTATTATCCTCATAATAATTACGGGGAAAAAAGTGGTTGTGTAGCAACTGGAACAAGGCTGTGTGAAAACTTACAGATTGTTGAGGAGCCTCTTCACAGCCACAGGAATTCCATTAATCAGATGGCCCCTATAAACAACTCCATATCCACCCTCACCAATAATATTGTCCTTTGAAAACCTACTTGTTGCAGTTTCTAAGTCCCTTAATGTAAACCAATGACCCCATCCAAGGCGAGAGAACTCAGGTAGACCAGATAGAGGGGAAGAAACACTAATGGGATGTGAAGAAGGCTGGTACATATTTATCGTTCCATTGCTTCCCTTTTCTCCTGATTCCAATCCAACTCCATCTTTCTCTAAATAGTTAAACGAGCCTGACTGACTGCTACTATCAAGATTTTTTGCCTTCTCAATACTAGAATGCACCAAAAGCGTGTCTGAATCTTTGTAGCTGGACTTGTCATCATAGCCAACAAAGTTGTTAGCTAAATTCTGATCGACCCTTATCTCTTTAATATCCTTTGATACAGTTGGGATTTGGCTAACAGGAAGTATATCACTAGCCCTTCTAGATTTCTTTCTTGAAAGACAAAATGATAGAATCAAGAGAATAATTACAATAAATACGCCCACAAAGGTTGCTAGTAACATCCACACACTAAGATTGAAAATATGTGTTTTCTTAGACAGTCCGGTATTGAGATCAGACGACATTTCTGCAAAAGAGATGCCTGCGATATACAAAAATAAAATTGTTGATGATGCAATCTCATGTATGTTGTAACCATTAAATCATAAAGGTGTCTTTAAATACACTCTGCATCCTTTCAAATAATTTCGAAGACTTTTTACCCAGTTTTTATTTCTCAAAGCATTCCAATAACAGAAAACAACAAAGGATGCATTTGATACTTGGTGACATTGCCAAATGTTCACCACTTCTTCAGTTCCAGAAGCTAAGGAAATAAAGGAGAGGTTAAAATGATAAAGCACATGTAACACAAAAATACGAGAGAGAGAGAGAGAGAAGTGGTCACACAAACGGACTCGGTACCAAATACCCAAAAAAAATTGAGCAAACATTTACGTATAAACTGAAGAAGAGTATAACAAAAGCATATACTTTTCTTTCAGTCTTGCTCATTTCCTAACTATACAAACCATTCAACAGAAAAATATGAGATGGAAGAGAAACCGAATAGAGGTAATGCACAAATGTATATGTGAAAGGCTTCTCATTTTACCTCTATCCGATGAGATTCAGAAAAAAAGCAGTCTCCAGAAACCTTCTTCACAGCCTTTCTCTGCAGAAAAGAATGATGAACCAAACTCCAAACCCTAGATCCCTTAACTAACACGGGCTAAAACTCATTTGGAAGTAAACCCAGTCAAATAAACCCCATTGTCAACAATCCCATATGTATAGGCAGCATTTTAGGATTTCCTTTCTGGGTCTTTTCTATTGCCCACATCACATGGCGTGTCTTTATTACTGAAAACCTCTGAAAATAACACCTTTGTTTGAAGAGATGCCAAACAGAAAACTTTCTTTTGAAGTTTAAAAGGGAATTAGAATTACACAGACACACAACAAAGCACATGGAATTCTGGGATGTGTGGAATGGTAGTGGTGGCGGGAATAATAAGAAGGCGAGGACTTATCAGTGTTAGGTAATGCGTAACATACAGTAAAAGAGAAGCATGAAATTTTGGAACTTTTTTTATTTTTTTGGGTATGACCTCAAAAAAATAAATAAATAACTAAAGACCCTTGAAGGTGACTGTGACTCTGAATATGACTGTTTATCAGAAGCTCAATTAGAATAATTACATTCAAGAATCAGAACTCTTGTGTGGGTTTTTATTATTTTTGTTTTTTGAACTACATTGTTAGTCAAACAACAATTTTAGAATTAGCAAGAAAAAAAATTATAATAGTAATTATGAGTATAGGACACAAGCAATCACCAGGCTTAAAGAAATAATTAAATGGCATTTAAATTAATGATAGGTTGCTATGCAAGGTGATATGAACAGACTGGACACCCACCAGCCTAAACCTATTTGTTTGGCATCTCATTTATTGGCCATTTTTGAAGTAATATTTAGTTGATGTGTTGGGATATGAAATCTAGCAGGTTGGATAGTCAAAGAAACAGACTGGATGCCATACATATTCTTTTTGAGTATTAAATGACCTTCTGCTCCCTCCAATATACCCCCTGTTTTTTTCTGTTTGCTGGACAGTACAAACTACAGAGGTAGCTCTACACCATTACTAATCCTATACAAGACTCATAACTTCTACAGAAATGAACACAATTTGTATTTGTCTATGATGAGTTTTATTGGTAAACAAGTAGATATATTAGGTTCGTCGAACAACATAGAATCGTTAAATATTATTTATATATGACATGAACTTGACAAAATATGAATTTAACTTACATCTTTACAAATGAGTTGAAAATGGGTGGAAGACAGTAACTTGACTCTAGCTTATTTGGGCATCAAGCCAGACCTATTTGGGGCATCAATCAGCAGAGCAGTAAAACACCTAATTATAACTGTTGAAATCATCCTGGAGTCGCCTTGAATTTTTGACAGGTGCCCCAACAACGTAATAATTCATCTGCCTGCCGAGAAGTAAAAGTGTAGAGAAATCATGGTAGTCCAAGGGAATCAATCATACTGGTCTAGGCAAGCAAAGATCAGTGAAATAGAAAGCAGACCATGTCATCCTTGATACATATTTAACTTTCCATCTTCTTACTATGTGTTGAATAATTGATTGAGTTGAAACTTGAAAGGTCTCCAAATAATTTCCCTTTGAAAGAACTGCTAGCTATGACCTAAGAACTGTGGACATGATATTTACATACATGTCCACCTCCTTTTTCAGTGGAATGTTAGATGCACCCACCAGTAAATAGGATCATATGTACAAAGTCTTTGACTCTCGCCGGCTAATGTGCATGCTGCTGGCCATAGGACCATTGTAAGGGCCCAACCAAATACTTTTTCTGCATATTGAGGAGTAAAAAAGTCGATGTAGAATTGTTACATTTGATCGTCTCTAGACTCTGTCTCATGCACTTTGCCAATCCTATATTAGTTGTGCAACATAAAATGGAAGATTTCAAGTCTTCTTTTAGGAAATGTAAAGGCAGTGATAGATGTATAAATACATTCCATTCAGACATATTGATCAATGTCTCTAACTTGTTACATATTTAGCTTAATCAAGACTTGAATTATCTCCACGTCAACATACATAAAACCACAATGTATATTATTAGACTGCATTCTTTATTTCATTCATCATGCGGCATGTGATCACTATTTAAATGTTTTTGGAAAGTCACTGTTTAAATCTTACTTTACTTATAGGGAGAATGAATACTATGGTATGGTATGGTATGGTATGGGGAAAAATAAATTCTGTCATTTACAACTTTTTAAGAGTTTTTTTACAATTTTTTGGGTCATTTATAACATTTTTGGGTTTTTTTATGATTGAACATAAATTTTTTTTATTAATTTTAAAATTATTAGGATCGATCCTAAATACTTTAAAATTTTACAACATGACCCCCACAAATATTAACTAAAACCCTAGAAGTTGTAATATAACACCCAAAAAATTATAAATTTCTTAGGATCAACTATATATTTTATAATCGATTATCAATATTTTAATTGTAACTAGACATCAAACAACTTATCTACTAACCCATAAAAATTATAAACTCCAACACCCAAATCAAATCCTATATATGGTGAGATACAATACATTGGTAGTTAGTGATGGATCATGCTTCCCTAGTCTATGCCTGCCTTGCATATATATATGCATCATTGAAAAGGAGGATCCAACCACAACCAATGTATCAAGTGTGCTTGTTTCATAAATTAAATTCCTCCAACAGTAGAAAATCCTTTTTTTTTTTTAATTACATAAGGAAAAGTATGCATATTGGGATAGGTGTGCTTCATCTACCTTTGTCCATTAGTTTATGCTTCCTAATACTAGCAATTTGGCATGAAAGTCAACATGATAGGATTGTTTTTAAAGTTTCATTTTCACATGTTTTAAAATAGGTTCTTCAGATGGAAGTTATTTAATAGAACTTTGAATTGATCATACCTTATAGTTCTAAACAAAAAATAAAAAAATTGAACATACCTTCAACTTTACACAACCACATGTCCACGGACTTAGTCCACTTGCCAATCGGGAACTTTTCTTCTGCTAACATTTTTTTGTAGAACTAAGTTCGATACACTAAGTGGTTATAAAATCTTTTTGTTTTTAAATAGGTTATTCGATATCGACCTGTCAATCAATAAAGATGTATATGTTAGTTTTGACAACTTGAAAACCATGTAAAATTTCAAAAAAAAAAAACAAAACTTGGCAACCATGTACAAGGTAATGGTGAAATGTAAAGAGTGTAGTTTTGATAAGTGAATTTAAGAAGGTGGAACATGTAATAATGAAAGATTCTTAATATGACAGAAGGCAAAGTTTCTCAAAAATGAATTTCCATTGACTTTTACTCAAGTAATAAACCCAACAGGTGAATGCCTGAATCTTGATTAGGGCATGTTTGAAAGAGCCAAAATGGCTATACAACAAAATATGATTAACTATCAAAAGATTGGTGATTTATTTATAGACATATGATGGGTATGGTACAACTACAAGACTTAACTACTCTCTCTATACAAACCAAACGAATGAAATCCCAGACATCTCTGTCGGCCGTTATACTAATATTAATTGATGGAAGACTTTTATTGTTGGTATATACAAAATCAAAATCTCTGTGTGTGTGTTTAGCAGGGCTGCTAGGAGGGCAAACGTGCAAAATGGGAGCAAGGTTTGATATTATCGAATAATCGTAAGGGAGGAATGGATTATAATTATTAGAGTAATGCTACCGGGCGGCCGGCAAAGACTTCTTCCAACAACTATTAACATTTTGAATCCAATCATTTGTGAGCTCGAAGTTTTTTAGTAGTTTGCGAGTTAGGTAGGTAACCGGGAGGATATGTTTCTAAGTAGAAGCCAGCAGCCTTTCACACCTCTCTCATTTTGTCTTGCAACATACAAGAAGATACAAGCCGTGAGAG